TTGTGTATATTTTAAACAGAATTTATTTATTTTGAATGGCAATAACATGCATATCTCCATAATATATTTATTCAAATTCAGTTTAGATGATTTTGAGTAAATGACTGTCAATTTCTCAAATGGGCCTTAATAACTAGTAAATAATGAATTATTATGAATTTATTTATATAAAGAATATACAATTAAAACATTTTTAACAACAATTTAATTTTTTCATTTTATTTTATGTAATTTTCAAGAAATGTGATGTGCAAAGTAACATTACATTTTTTGTAGAAGGTTTACTTTTGCAATTAGGGAATTGCCTTTGCTTATCTCTTTTGGAAATAATGTTCTTCCCAACATATCCTGCATTTTCAAAAACATTATAAATGCTTGGTAAACTAACTTGCTTTTCCTCTCATTTTATTTCCAAGTCCAATTTTGAGAAGATTCACTGCAATGTTTCTACAAAAATCTTTGGTTAGTATTGTTTTTTTTCCATTGATGACATTTTTTAAGATGAATCCATTGACAGCAACTTTTTCAATGATTCTGGTAAACAGGCACTAATTCCATTTCTTACCTCCAACATAAATTCTGTTTTTTCTGGAAGCTAATGATAAGGTTCACACCTCCCATATATTTGTTATGATTGTTTATTACTACAGGTTGCTGTTTTGACATCTTTCTGTTTACCCTTTTGCTCCATCTCTATAGATGCAAGAGTGGTTGGACAGTGTCATAATTTGAGCGTAATAATATGCATTTATTGTGACTCTATTTTATCATTAGTATCTTATTCTTACAATCAAATTTGTAGTCAAATGATTCTATAAATAATTTTTCTAAATCTTTGGAATTAATAAGAGGATCGTTGTCAACTCTATTTTCTCTGATGGTGCCATTTCTATGAAATTCTTTCAGGAAGTTTCAGCTCAACTGTTTCAGTATAGAAATATGACTTGTCCTGATCAGTTCTATAATACACCTGGCTAACATTAAAAAGTGAAATAGAGCAATACAAGCACAAATATGTACACTTCAAATCTAAACAGAAATTTTTACAGAGGAATTATTATGTAGCATGCTAGGATCTCCAAAGTACTTTCTATACATAGGACACTGGGTTATAATGGACTAATGTTCATATTATTTAACTGTGTTCAGTTAGCTAAAATGAAATAAATTTAAAGCATTGTGATGATGTCACAATAAATAATTGCTTGTTTACAGTAAAACTCGTCTAAAGCAGAACCTGAATAGATCAGAAACCTGCCTTAGCGGAAAAAGTTATCCAGAGTGGAGCAAATTTTTTTTTTAATGTTAAAAAGAAACATGTTTAAAATGGAAACCTACCAAACTGAAAAAAATATTTAGTACTGTGTGATTCTGGTTTACACAGGTTTTACTGTATACAATATAACAAAGTTTTGAAGTTTACTTCTCTGATATGCTTACGGCAAAATTTATTTATTAGAAAGTTTTCAAGTTTGACATATTTATGGAGTCAGCAAAGAAGAAAGGGTACATTATAAGATCAGAATTCTTATTTTTACTTAAATAGAATTTTACTATTAGTAGGCAAGAAAACGAGGAGAACAATAGATGAAAATTATTGTTTGTTTATGGATAAAAAAAAATAATTCTGTTGTTATACAAAATTCAATTCTATTTATTTGTATAACAATAAATTATTTGAAAAATAAAATTAAAAATAAAATTGAAGACAGTTTATTGAAAAAGGAATCACCATTTATTCACTTTCAATGTTCCGGAATACAAACTTTTGACAACAAACCTTATTCTATAGGCTATTTGGCAGTCAAAATTAAAACTTCCCTTAAAATCAAAGAAAAATATCCAATTAAAAACACGGTTTTAAAAATAGGAACTGGAATGCCACAGACGTCTTCTTTCCTTCCATCCTTACCTCTTCTTCTTCTATTTTTATTTGGAGAGTCTAGCACTAAGTAGGCTCTTTCTCTGACGAGCAGTCACGCATTGGTCACTGGAAATGTCCAGTTTGAGTGACGTAAGTTTTTAGTTCCAAGGGAGTGATGTTATTCGATGGCTCATATATAGAAAGCAGTATACTAACATTGTTCAAGTTGACATGCAATGCCTCGCCCAGATCGTGGCAGGCTGAATCCTTATCTCTCGAGGACAGTAGAGCTTTTTATCTACTAGAAGCAAGTGCAGGTAAATTTACATTTTCAGCTGCCCCCTGGTGATAAATATTTGCAGAATAATTCAACTAAATTGTAGAATTTTGTCGGATGGTGATTAAGTTTAAAAATTAAATTGAAGATATTTTCAATAGGCTGTGCCTTCAGTTTAATTTTTAAACTTAATCACCATTTAACAAAATTCTACAAAAATTATTTGATTTATTTGTGTAAATGATTTCATTTTTGTTATAATTGTAATCAGATGTGCAGTTATTACAATGATGAATGCTATTTTTAGCTTATCCTATTGGTAAATTATTTAATGATGTAATGATTGTGAATAGCTCACTCAGCAGACTCAATAGTTTCAACTGAGTGAAGATATGATAGCAGGTAACTGTTACATAATGGAAACAAATCTGCTGAACAATAAATTACAAGTTAAAGCAAGCGGATTGTGGCACTACACTAGCTTCTGTTTGTTTTTGAAAACTTAAAAACATATTATAAAATAAATTATATTCATTTTAAAGTTTTATTTTGCATATACTGTATCTAGTTGATGATAACTGTTAAACTAATCTAGTTTAAATGGATTAATACTGTAATGTATGCCTTTATACCCATAAACAATACATACTTCACATGCTATATGGTCACAGCTGTCTTGTATCTGAATGTAGCATAAAAATTTGTTGTTAAGAATGAAATTGGGCATTGATTATACAATAGATTGAGGTAATAGTCATGAACATTTTATGAATAAACAATTTCATTTACCATCCATTCTAGGAATATTTAAGTTCATTACAGTATAATTCCTATAACTGGAATTTAGGCTAGTAAACCCCTCTATGCATGAAATTTACTGAAAGATTTTGAATAGATACTCTTGATAAATTGTATTATATAGTAGCTGAACTGCAAGCATTGTGAGTTTTTTTTATTAAATATATTATTCTAGTTATTCAACTCTATAGTATTTGTCTACAATTACCACAAATATCAAAGAATTAAGTCATTCATGTTTAGTGGATGAAAATATTAGAAAATAAGTGTAATAAGAAAAGAAAGTTATAAAACTGAGTAAAAAGATGTTAGAATAAGTACAGTAAATGAAAGATGTGATAGATAAAGAATCATAACATTATTCCAAAAATCCCTGGGATGTTCTGCCCTGCCCAGATTTGATATCGGTCCCTCAGAACAATAGGATAACACCTTAACTGCTTCAGCCATCTTTACTTCACTATTCTATCTATTTTTCATGGTTTGAAAGTGATTATTCTTTGTAAATTTTGTGAAGTATTTCTTTAAACTTTGCCAGATGTTTCTAAAATTCAAAATATTCTAAATTATTCAATCTATATTAGTTGTCTTACATTTAGTGTAGTATTTTGCTTATTTAATATTCATCTAATCTCATTATGAACAGAGGACTGGCAATGTTAAAAGCCTAATTGCTGACATTTTATTGTAAGCAAAATTATTTTGAAATTCTGAGATACATGTAAAAATTCTTAGATGATCTTTCATAACATGAAATATGAGAGTAGTTGTGAACCATCAGAAATAGATAAATAAATTATTTTAAAGGCCACTCTGGGTTTTTATTTGATTTTAGATAAGAGCTTCTAGAACTTCAGTATATGAAAGAACAAATGTGATTTATATTTATTGTTTTGTAATGGATTGCTTTCAAATTAACACGACTCATTACACTGTTAGAGGCCAAATATACTTACTCTACAGTAATTTGTATATAAATACTTGTTATATCATACATATAGGGGAGATGAACCAAATAAATGATATATCAGATGGCACAATATAACTGATATATCTATCCATTATTAGCTAAAGCACTTTTATATTTAGGAGAAAAAAATAATGTCATATGTCCGAATGAGTAATAGAATAGAATGCTACATAACAAGGGGCTACTGTATTATATGTATAACAATGACAAAAAATTTGCTTTATTAGAGTTCACTTGAATAGTTTTTCTATGAAGTACTTTTTGGCAACCAAGCCCATTGTCGGGAGACACATAAGTGAATCTTTGTTTGCTAAGTCATCACTAAAATAGGACATCTAGGCACTAAAAATCATACAAATTATATGATTTTTAGTGCCTACATGTCATAGTTCTAGATTTGTCATCTAAGTCTTAAGCTTATTTTAATGAAAATGATTAGTAACAAATAAGTAGTAATGATTTAGAATTAAAGCTAGTATTTATGAACTTATTTTTCTTATATTATAGCTTATCATCTTTTATTGAGACATTTTAAATATATTTTATTCATCACAAATTATTGATACATTGTTATTTTGGTTTTTTATAAGCACGAACACTAATTGATCTTGAGAAACTAGCTACATACTTTCACAAAGTCTAAAGTTGTAGCATTAATTTAAGAAAGCAATATAGTATTAAACTATATTGGTAAACTATTTATGAAAATAAGTGTCATTAATGGATGACATGTTAAATCTTAACTTATTGTGTAATAATTGTTGGGATTGGCTTCTGCGTTATAGAAAAATCTATCATCATCATTTTAAATCAATTTTTGTACAATTGATTAGAAAGACTTGCTTTTTTTTTTGTATGAAATTAAAATCTTATACATTTTAATCATTTGTGGCTAGCAAATAAGCTTTAATTTGGATTAAATTATATTAAACAGGGAGATAGATTAAAATGTTTCATGTTTTTGTTAGACAAGACAAGGGATTAATTATAAAACTAATAAGTATTAATATTTTAAATTGTTTTAAATTTTCTAAATATAGATTGTAAATGTTAATTTTTGAAATAAATCGGTATTGTTGTTTTAATTTAAGGTGATGCTAGTGCAGATCATCTATTGGCATTGGAAATGGAACACAGGGAGCGGGAGCAGCAACGTCTTAGAGAACAACAAGAATTTCGTTTATTGCAGGCACAATATGGCATGGATAACCAGGGAAATTTCAGGGAACAATCTATCACAAATATGCAGAGAGCTGTTTATGCTGGAGAAATGAGTGTAACAGATTATTACAATCGCCAAGTAGAACTTTGTATTGCAGAAAGAGATGGAGTAGACGATGGCCATTCTTGTATTAAAGGTAGTTATTTAATTTCATTAAAGAATGAAATACTTAGAATTTTTTGAATATTTTCATTAAAATAATTTTTTTTTTAGGTTTAATACCAAAAATAAGAGCTTTCAGCATGGCTACTACTAATGTAGAACATACGTGGCTTTGTACCACTGTTGATCATTATGGTTCCACTTACGGAGATAAAGGATGGGGATGTGGGTATCGTAACATTCAGATGCTGCTATCAGCTTTAGTGCATCATACAGGTTATAATCACCGATTATTTAATGGTAAAATTTAAGATTACATATTAAAGTTTACTTTTATTAAAATAATTTAAAATATTATTATAAAAGAATTATTTAATAATTGTTTTCAGTCAAATGTAATTGGAAAATAATTTTTAACAGGAAAGAATTCAATTCCTTCAATATCCAAATTGCAAGAATTAATAGAAAATGCTTGGCGCCATGGTTTTGATCCTCAAGGATGTGAGCAGCTTGGAGGAAGGCTCACAAACACAAGAAAATGGATTGGTGCTACAGAAGTTGTTACTTTTCTTTCTTCATTTCGTATTAAGTAAGCCATTAAAACTGAATTAAATTCTAAAAAAAAATATTTAAAATATGGCTATTATTATACTGTATAAGACTTATTCATTTTGGTTTCTATTATTCTTTTATTATTGAATTCTATATTAAAACATTTTAAATTTCTTTAATGTCTTGATGTGTTAAATTCAAATAGATGTTTAGTTTATTTGTATTTTTTTTTTACATATTCAAACCTTGTTTATGTTGAAATTATGTTTTTTTAAAAACATGAAGCAAATTAAAGTAATGTAAGTTAAAATAGTTTTCCATGATAAACTTTTGAAATATTAAGAAATGAGTTTCAATACCATAATTTTCAAGAAATAGTAAATTAAACTTTATCTTTCTGAATCTGATGTAAAACAATGACGGCTCATCTGCCCGTGGGATGAATTGGCATGGGCCAATAGGCACTTCATGGGCAGATCATTTTTTATGAACTGTGCTATATTCATCCAGTAATTACATATTTTCATCATTACAAAAACAGCTAGTGCAAATCTCATATTTGCAATCAATCAATGACTAGCAAAGAAAGTTTATTCATATTGAGATTAATTTGTGAATTAACTAAAATGAATTATAACACATTATGCAATTTATTCTAATAATAATTAAAATTTTATTGTGTACAGGCACAATGAAGTGACGTTTTTCTCAACACTGGGCTAGTTGAATCTTTTATTTAGTTAGAACGTTTTTTTCCATACATCAACGTTTCNAGTTACATATTTAAATTTTCTATATCATCTCATGTATTAAAATATTTTCAATGCTTTCATTAAGACAAAATATATTTTTAGTTAAATTTTTACAACACAGGCACAAGACTATATGTGATAGTCTTGTGATGAGATATGGAAGCTGATTTTGCCAACTGATACCAATAGTTCATACAAAAAGCCAGTCAACATGGCTGGCTCTTCTCCCGTTCTCCCTATCCCTCATGTCTTTTCTTTATATTACATTTCTTTTAATTTTGAAATATATATATATATATATATATATTTTTTGCGGCATATTTTTGCCAACATCGATGGGTGAAATGCTCTGTCAAACCCCTCAGTAACTTTGCCTTTGGATTAAGTTAATGTAGAAGAAAAACTGAAGCATTCTATTTTCATGATGATGATTAAAATACTTTTCATATAATAAAGAAGAAAGATTTTAAATAGCCACCTTATCAAGAACTAGTAATTGAAGTTTGTAATGCANTACACTTAGTTTTTTAACATTTTCAATATCAATTTTTTATCACAATTTTAACTTTACAGGTTAAAAACAAAACCTTTTCTACATTTTATTACATAAACAAGATAAACTCTGCAGATTTTAAAAAACTAAAACTTACAAATTTCAAAAGTCTTTTTTTGCCACCTCGTCGACCAATCCGACAATTTGCATATAGCAAATTGTCGGACAACATCGACAACACGATTTCGACAACATCAATAATTAAAATTTTAGTTATATGCACACATCCAATAGTCTTTGCTTATTGGATGTATTTGTTTATTAGTTTTTTTACTGAGAAATTTAAATTTGGCAGTGATTCTTACACACTACATTCATTACAGATTTATTAAATGTGACTAATCAAAGTGATTTTTACAACTTTATGAATTTATTATAAAGTAACTAATTAAGTGAAAGTAATGGTGACAAAGGATGGAACTTACTAGTGTAAGTGATATAGTAAATAGTAGTTCAAAAACAGAGGAAAGAAATGCATAATTTAAGGAGGAAGAAAAATGGAAAAAATAATCAAAAGTTAAAATACTATTTAATTCAGATTTGCTTTACATACAATATAACTCACACTCAGGAGAGAGATATAACAATTTACTATACATCCCAATGTTTGTAACAATTTATATTTTGAGTCCCAAGCCTAAAGATGGATGGCCTTAGGTTGAAAATGTTTGTAAAAGTAATTTAATAAACAATTTTTCTCAGCAAACATTAGGTGCCATATTATGATTATTATATCTTGCTTCACATTATTTTTATAAATGAACTAGCAGACCCGGCCATGTGTTGCTGTGACTCAAAATGTATCTATTAAAAATGTATAACACTTCCCCATGGGGGGAAATTTCGAAAAATCCCTTCTTAGTGTACATTCTCTTGACGTATCCTATTAAAATGCAATCAAAAACTCAAAAAACTGCACCCTAAAATAGTATAATAGAAGCCGAGTTCTTCACGGTAAGCCTTAATCCTGACCCTCTCCCCGTGTCTAAATTATATAAAAACACGCATGAATTCGAATGGAATGTTGTGTCAAAATTTCAAAGCAATTGGTGAAGAACTTTTGGAGATTTAAGATTTTGAACAAACATAACATTTTTATTTATATAGATTAATTCCTCTTTAAACATCAAATTACATTTAAAAATAATTCTAATATTTTTCTGATTAAAATGTATGCAGTAGTATCCCCACTCTTACCACATAGTTGGATTGTGAGAAAATGTCGTTATCTGCGTTATAGAAAAATCTATCATCATCATTTTAAATCAATTTTTGTACAATTGATTAGAAAGACTTGCTTTTTTTTTTGTATGAAATTAAAATCTTATACACTTTAATCATTTGTGGCTAGCAAATAAGCTTTAATTTGGATTAAATTATATTAAACAGGGAGATAGATTAAAATGTTTCATGTTTTTGTTAGACAAGACAAGGGATTAATTATAAAACTAATAAGTATTAATATTTTAAATTGTTTTAAATTTTCTAAATATAGATTGTAAATGTTAATTTTTGAAATAAATCGGTATTGTTGTTTTAATTTAAGGTGATGCTAGTGCAGATCATCTATTGGCATTGGAAATGGAACACAGGGAGCGGGAGCAGCAACGTCTTAGAGAACAACAAGAATTTCGTTTATTGCAGGCACAATATGGCATGGATAACCAGGGAAATTTCAGGGAACAATCTATCACAAATATGCAGAGAGCTGTTTATGCTGGAGAAATGAGTGTAACAGATTATTACAATCGCCAAGTAGAACTTTGTATTGCAGAAAGAGATGGAGTAGACGATGGCCATTCTTGTATTAAAGGTAGTTATTTAATTTCATTAAAGAATGAAATACTTAGAATTTTTTGAATATTTTCATTAAAATAATTTTTTTTTTAGGTTTAATACCAAAAATAAGAGCTTTCAGCATGGCTACTACTAATGTAGAACATACGTGGCTTTGTACCACTGTTGATCATTATGGTTCCACTTACGGAGATAAAGGATGGGGATGTGGGTATCGTAACATTCAGATGCTGCTATCAGCTTTAGTGCATCATACAGGTTATAATCACCGATTATTTAATGGTAAAATTTAAGATTACATATTAAAGTTTACTTTTATTAAAATAATTTAAAATATTATTATAAAAGAATTATTTAATAATTGTTTTCAGTCAAATGTAATTGGAAAATAATTTTTAACAGGAAAGAATTCAATTCCTTCAATATCCAAATTGCAAGAATTAATAGAAAATGCTTGGCGCCATGGTTTTGATCCTCAAGGATGTGAGCAGCTTGGAGGAAGGCTCACAAACACAAGAAAATGGATTGGTGCTACAGAAGTTGTTACTTTTCTTTCTTCATTTCGTATTAAGTAAGCCATTAAAACTGAATTAAATTCTAAAAAAAAATATTTAAAATATGGCTATTATTATACTGTATAAGACTTATTCATTTTGGTTTCTATTATTCTTTTATTATTGAATTCTATATTAAAACATTTTAAATTTCTTTAATGTCTTGATGTGTTAAATTCAAATAGATGTTTAGTTTATTTGTATTTTTTTTTTACATATTCAAACCTTGTTTATGTTGAAATTATGTTTTTTTAAAAACATGAAGCAAATTAAAGTAATGTAAGTTAAAATAGTTTTCCATGATAAACTTTTGAAATATTAAGAAATGAGTTTCAATACCATAATTTTCAAGAAATAGTAAATTAAACTTTATCTTTCTGAATCTGATGTAAAACAATGACGGCTCATCTGCCCGTGGGATGAATTGGCATGGGCCAATAGGCACTTCATGGGCAGATCATTTTTTATGAACTGTGCTATANCATTTTTATAAATAAAAATTTGACAAACTATTTATCGTTTTATGATGAGTAAAATTTTTTGGTCGCATTCACGGCTTTTAAGTAATGCATAAACCTCCGAGGCACGAGGCCCTTCGGACCACGAGGCATAGGCGGTGGCCCACATCGTTCATGCCTTATGCCACCCTTGGTCGTAGAAATGATGTAATTTGAATATAAATTATTTATAAATACGTATGTCAAGTTAAATATATTTTACGTCGTAATAAAAATATAAGAGTTTACGACCACTGTGCTGGGTGAGACACTGTTGAAACAAAAAAAGTTATGCATTCCATCACGTACATAAACAGTGTTGTAATTCGCCAAGTGCAAATCAGCAAATTCGTAAAATTTTTGTTTATTTTGAACAATCTGGATAATCGAAAATCTGGATAATAGCGGTTCTACTGTAGTTGGATTGTGAGAAAATGTCATTAAGAGAGTGCATCACCTGTAAGCTTAATGTCTTGAATCGAAGTTTCGTTCTCAGAAATGTCTCTTGAACTATATGGCAATAGTCAAAAAAAAACCCAAAAAATATGGAATTGTAAATATGATTTAATTAATTTTTAAACTTTTATAGCTAAATATTTCATAATTTTCCAGGTGAAAAATATTTGTTTAAGTTAAGGAAAACTAATACACACTAGTACGACGTTAAAATTGTGTGTGGCGCCATCTGTTATGAAAGTTTATTAAAAAATAACTTTTTTTTATTATTAACTCACAGGGGGAAGGGAATTTCGACATATATATTATTTAAAAACATGCCGGTATTCGAATGGAACGTTATGTGAAAATTTCAAAGCAATCGGTGAAGAACTTTTGGAGATTAGCTATTAGGAACAAACGGACATTACATTTTTATTTATATAGATTGTGAGAGTTGAATAAAACAAAATGGAAAACAACCCGATAATGATCTCATCAGAAGCTGGTATATGTCAATCTTCTGACCTAAGAAGTGTCAACTTATTCTTTCTCAAAGTTCATAGCAACACTTTATGACATCTTTCCCTTGACTTCTAGTCACCTCAGAAATTTTCACCTTTGAATATGACAAAGAATGACGTCATTGGGATTAGTGTTTGTGTGCCTTTCTATCCAGTTGATGGAATTTGTATTTGTATGCTTCATCTGTATTTCTGTTTTCCAATTTGGGTGCTTTCCAATGTGGGATACATTGTTTGAATTCAAAGCTCTACCTCATCGAAAACTGTTTTCCTGAACTTTCCAAAATAGGAAGTATTTGTCAGGATTTGTAAGGTATCATAATTTGTAAACACCCTCTTTCTGTGATGACAACACATATAACTGTAAATACTATGTCTTACTTAGACGTGCAATGTACTGTATGAATTTTTGTGCTGTCTAATAAATGTTTAAACGTGTAATAAGTGTAGTTAATTGTATTGAGTGGCTCCGTCCAACTGAATGCCATCATTTCCTACTCCATCCCCTTGCCTTAGAGAACACATATGGGACCACGTTATTGCCATTCACAAAAATGGAATATACATTCTATACATTTAATTAATTATACATTACATTACATTTAATTACAAAATAAAGGTTCTAAATTGAACAAGCAATTATTTTTTGTGACATCATTGCAAGCCAGGCTGCAATTTTTAATCATATTTTAAATTTATTTAGTTCAAAATACATGCTCTCCACCTCAAATTAGTTGCCCCTGTATATCACATTTTTCCTTTAACGTGACGATCATCTAACACTTTTCAGGGGAAAATTTTTGAATTGAAATAACATGACTTCCGGTTTGCATCAGAAATTTGTATATAGTTAATTGGGGCCTCCTGCCCCGGAGGTTTCCTTATCTGGTCTCATCTTTCATCTATCTAATTCCGTTCTAGAGATTAAAGAAAGATGGACAGACAACAGTGGGAATTTATAGGTCTACAATTTTACAAATTGAAGCCCAATCGGTGATATTCAAAATGGGGCAAGTTCATTTTACCTAATTTTCCAGGATAATGAAAATAGTGTCCAGAAGCAATACTTTTTACTTGTAGTTTGAAATAAAAGTACCTATTGTACTTGAGACTGATATGAATCTACTATACCCTAATATTTTGTCATGGACCATGCAGTGTGTCAACTGTCCTGTATTTCATATGACAGACTTATCCATTTTGAATTAAACTGCTAAAAAATCTTACATATTTCAGAGTAAAGATTTCAAATATACTCCTCCAAGTAAATATGTACTTGAGTAACATTTGGCACAAAAATAACAAAGTAAAAGAGTCATCAAACATACCACAAAAATATATTTACATCATTGTGGCATGTTTTTAATGCTTAACAACATGATTCTGTGGTGGCTAGGATGGCTGGCCTAATTGACACAATTGCAAGGTTTGTGCAGCTTTTAGAGCAGGGATGTCCAACCTTTTTGTTTCTCTGGGCCACATTGGAAGATGTCATGGAGTTTTGGGCCACACGTATATATAATATACTGTACTTGTGGCCCAATCCTTAAATATACTTGTATATTTTAGGATTAACATGTCTAGATTATAGTAATAAGTATTAAATCTTTATCACGAAAAAGGATATTTGAAAAAATTACTTCTACAGATACTTCCTATTTTTACTTAGAAATAGATAAATTCATTTATTATAAAGGAGACAAACAAAAATTTATTTGAAAAACACAAATATTTGTTTCATTTGGGTCTCTAATTAATAAAAAATGACAAAACACCATTTTAAAGTGCATTTTTATTCGACTAAATATATTTATAAATAAGATGTAGCCCAAAAAGTAGCCAATGCGCCAAATGATATTTTTTACGCCAAACTAAAAAAAGGGTAGCCAACTTTGGCGCAAAGTAGCCAAATTATGGAACACTGGAAGGAATACTAAATAAAGCCGGAATTGGATTCAAAGGATTATAGACCCAAATGCGGGGAAAGGAGAGAAAGGACAAAAGATAAAGAAGTGAGGAAGGTTGGGAAATTAAGGGTCCATATTTGCTTAACAGAAAGTCTATGTAACCTTTCATTGAAATAAATAAATAAAATAAAATAAACAAATTTGTCAGTTTTGTTTACATGTTTATTGGGCCTCATTGGAACTTGCCTTGGGCCGCGGGTTGGACACCCCTGTTTTAGAGCTTTCTATTGCTGAATGTAAGTGATTACACTCAGAAATTTCTGACACCAAGTAGGTTACGCCTACTATGCAAGTTTTTGAGTATTTTTGTAGGATTGTATTTTTGAGGATGGCAATAATGCATTTTCATGTGTTCTCTAGGGCAAGGGGATGGAGTAAGAAATGATGAGATTCAGTTGAATGGATCACTCAATACAATTAACTACACTTATTATATGTTTAAATATTTATTAGACAGCACAAAAGTTCATACAGTACATTATATATCTAAGTAAGACATAGTATTTACAGTTACATGTGTTGTCATCACAGAGAGAGAGTGTTTACAAATTATGATACCTTACAAATCCTGACAAATACTTCCCATTCTGGAAAGTACAAGGAAACAGTTTTCGATGAGGTAGAGCTTTGAATTCAAACAATGTATCCCACATTGGAAAGCACCCAAATTGGAAAACAGAAATACAGATGAAGCATACAAATACAAATTTCATCAACTAGATAGAAAGGCACACAAACACTAATCCCAATGATGTCATTCTTTGTCATATTCAAAGGTGAAAATTTCTCAGAGGTGACTAGAAGTCAAGGGAAAGATGTCATAAAGTGTTGCTATGAACTTTGAGAAAGCATAAGTTGACACTTCTTAGGTCAGAAGATTGACATATTGGTATACCAGTTACTGATGAGATCATTATTGGATTTTTTTCCATTTGTTTTATTCAACTTTCACTTTCACAATTCATTTATAAAAATAATGTGAAGCAATATATTATAATCTTAATATGGCATCTAACATTTGCTGAGAAAAATTGTTCATTAAATTACTTTTACAAATGTTTTATCCTAAGGCCATCTTTAGACTTAAAACTCAAAATATATCTATAAATTGTTACAAACATTGGGATGTATAGTAAATTGTTATATCTCTCTGCTGAGTGTGGGTTATATTGTATGTAAAGCAAGTCTGAATTTATTAGTATTTTAACTTTTGATTATTTTTTCTGTTTTTCTTCCTCCTTAAATTATGCATTTCTTTCTTTTTCTTTCTTCTGTTTTTGTACTGCTATTTACTATATCACTTAAACTAGTAAGCTTCATCCTTTGTCATCATTACTTTCACTTAATTAGTTACTTTATAATAAATTCATAAAGTTGTAAAAATCACTTTGATTAGTCACATTTAATAAATCTGTAATGAATGTAGTGTGTAAGAATCACTGCCAAATTTAAATTTCTCAGTAAAAAAACTAATAAACAAATACATCCAATAAGCAAAGACTATTGGATGTGTGCATATAACTAAAATTTTAATTATTGATGTTGTCGAAATCGTGTTGTCGATGTTGTCCGACAATTTGCTATATGCAAATTGTCGGATTGGTCGACNGCTATGAACTTTGAGAAAGCATAAGTTGACACTTCTTAGGTCAGAAGATTGACATATTGGTATACCAGTTACTGATGAGATCATTATTGGATTTTTTTCCATTTGTTTTATTCAACTTTCACAATTCATTTATAAAAATAATGTGAAGCAATATATTATAATCTTAATATGGCATCTAACATTTGCTGAGAAAAATTGTTCATTAAATTACTTTTACAAATGTTTTATCCTAAGGCCATCTTTAGACTTAAAACTCAAAATATATCTATAAATTGTTACAAACATTGGGATGTATAGTAAATTGTTATATCTCTCTGCTGAGTGTGGGTTATATTGTATGTAAAGCAAGTCTGAATTTATTAGTATTTTAACTTTTGATTATTTTTTCTGTTTTTCTTCCTCCTTAAATTATGCATTTCTTTCTTTTTCTTTCTTCTGTTTTTGTACTGCTATTTACTATATCACTTAAACTAGTAAGCTTCATCCTTTGTCATCATTACTTTCACTTAATTAGTTACTTTATAATAAATTCATAAAGTTGTAAAAGACTTTGATTAGTAACATATTTAATAATTTATTTTATATTTAAAAATAATGTTCTGTTACTCCTGTAGAAAGTTATTTTTAGTTCATACAGTTATTATTGTAAGGCCTTTTTTCCTAATTGATAGATTTATAATAATGATTATTTACATCAGAATATTTTTAAAGAAATTAATAACATTTTTTTATTAAAATTGTTATAAAAATTTATAAATCTACTATCCACTATTATAACAATTTATTATGTTTCTTTATATAGGTGTATTTTAATAGACTGCCATACTGCTACGGGTCCAAATGGTACACACCCCGAAATGTTTCAGTGGGTGAAGGAATATTTCACAAAAGATGATGATTTTCTTTCTCCAATCTACCTCCAACACCATGGTATTTTACTGCTTATTTCATTATTAATAATTCAATTTTTTCCTCTGTTAATTATTAACCATTTAATAAATAATAATAATATAGGGCACAGTAGGACTATTATTGGAATTGAGGAATTAAAAGATGGAGAACTTCAGCTATTAGTATTTGATCCTAGTCATAGTAAAGCTCAAATGGAGCAATTCAATAACACTGCCTGTAATGCTAATGCCATGCGTCTAGTACGGCGGCCACTGTCTGCACTGAAAGCTCGACAATATCAACTAGTCACCGTAAATGGACTTATGGAAACAGAGGAAGAATTTCAGGTAATTAAAATTATTTTTCATACAAAGTAAAATATTTATGTAAAAGAATAAAAATAAATATTTATGTTTGTTTTATTTTTAGAAAAGCAAAATCCTACGTTCTCAACGAATCCCTCCAAACTAAAAGCTTTCCTTTGGACTTGCCTTCTGTAATATGCTTCTGCGGGCAGCATATCCTTATCTTCATTCTCTTTCGAAAATGGTTAAGGATGTCCAGAGTGATAATTATATTGTAGGAGAAGTAAGAAGTGTAGATTTAAAAATATAATTTGAAATAACTCCTATTGGATTATAATTTTGTATAGATATCATTGAGTTTGTATACATGTATATATATGATTTGTCATTTAGTTTCATACACTTTAAGAAGTAGAATTCATATTTATTTTAAAATATTCTTTCTTTAATTCATTATTTTTACAATATTGATTTATAAGTTTAAAGATGATTATATTAAATTTTGTGTTGTCTTCTTACTGTAACTGTATTGAGATTATTTATTGTTTCTTATCTCTTTTTATATTTAAAAATTTAATATAAATAATTTATAAATTAGAAAGAAAATATTTCATATTACCCTAAGGCTATCCCCTAAAATCTAATACACAAATTTCCCAAACATTCAGAATGAAAAAAAAAGATAAGAGTTTCTTGATCTTTGATTTATTTTTAGGTTAAGGTTTATAACAATTTAACTCGTTTACAAATCATATTAGAAAAAAGAAATGATTGCAAGTAATTTTTTTGTATGTTTATGATAAAACAAGAAAACTTATATGAGATTTATCATTTTAAATGATTCTTTATATTATGATTTTAAAATATGTATATCCTGCCCATAACTATTCTATTTGAAATGTATTTGTCATACTATAACTATCGATTGAATCAAAATCCAATTTTTTATATTCTATCCAAATTTGCATATATAATATAATTTTACCATACGATAATATCCGAGAAAATACTCTTCATTTGTATCGCGATGTCATTATATTTTGATTTTGTCATTATTTAAAGGAATATTAAAACACAGGGTTTATCATTATTTTAATAAATCTATAAGTACGAGAATGGCAAAACTAATTGCCAGCTAGACTAATCTGAGGTGATTTTTAGATAGTCTTTAAAATTTTTAATATGATTATTCCATTGTCTGCAGCTTGCTCAATTATTGAAATAATTCTTTTTAGTTGATGTAAGTTTTAATAAGGAATATTGCACGTCTCTCAATAATTCTTCTCTCTTTTTTTTTATGGGAAGAATGCATCATTATATAAAATTCAACTTCATCTAATGATAAAAAGAACATCTTAAAAAACCAAATTCAGGAATAAATGTAATTTAATTTTATATTGCTTCATATAAATATGAATATACCTATTTATGTACTTCCAGTGTTTGTTAATATATTTGTCTTTTGAATGTTGTTTTCATTAGGATGATTTTATGAAGTTTTTTTACGATTGTCTCGTCAAGTGCCGAGACGATCGAAACTCATTTTATTGAATCGAGTTAGCCAAAAATCATTTGAATGTTCCTAACGTATCGCTTGTATATAAGTGAGGTTGGTTGCAAAGAGCTTTTGATAGTAAGATTATAGGTATTTCAGTTAATAAATCGAGAAATATTGTTTATAAAGCAAACCGGGTTGTGAACATTGTGTTTAAAGTTGCTAAATCTCGAGCATTAAAAAAACTTGTATCTAGCTTTGCAGTAGGAAGATTGGGTTCTAGCAGGTAATTCGGATTAGCCTTTGTGATCTAAAATCAAATATAATTGTATAGAATATATGTACTTGATTTAGTTACACAAGTATTATATATCGTAGTATATTTATTGTCATACAAATATGTACAAAAATCTTGTTCTTAAAAATTACAAGAAACAGAATTGGAATTGTAAAGTGTAGAGAATATGAAAATATTTATTTTTGAAATTTTGAAAGCAGAATCAACTTTTATTACAAATAAATTCTATGAACATTGAAAGTTAATATAAATCTTGACAGATCCAAGATAAATCCGTTTGTTTCTTTCGTCATTAACTCCTGTTTCCACTCTGATTTAATTGGTTCCTTTTAATTCATTAATATTGTTAAAAATTATCGACATTGAAGGAATTTTAAATATTTATTTTTCTCTTAGATAAGAAAAAAAAAATTTCTCGACTTGCTTATAATAATGAAAATATTTTTCTTATCTGAAATATGCAAACCCCAATTGCCTTTTGAATTCCAACATTGCCTAATTGATTAATGAAACTATATACAAAGTAATTTCGTTGTTGGTTGGAAATTTCAAATGAGTTTTTACATATCTATAAAAAAAAGCATTAAAAGAAAAATTGGATAGGCTTCTGACATCAAATGATACCAAGAATTGTTGGTTGTTTCTAAATAATTGGGAAAGTCTGTGATAAAATATAATTTTTATTTTACTTATTGGATCGTAAAATACAATTAGAAGAAATACTTAAATATTATCATTATTTCCAATCGTTATAATCAAAAATTTTTGATTTAATTAATTAAATGTAACTAATTATGAATTGTTCACCATTATTTGTATTTTCTGTCTATCCTTAGATAAAAATATTCTTGTTTTAAACATTTAAAATTCATATTGCTTTAAGAACGAACATATTTGGATTTAAAATTGTTTTCTAATTAACAATTCAATTAAATTTCACTTTAAACTTTGAAATTTTTGGGAAATTGTTGCTAATATGATTAAAAATATCATCTGTATTTTTGGAAATAAGCCTCAATTAAAAAAGAATTGCAAATGAATTCCTTCTTTAATTAAAATTTGTGAACTTTTTAACATTAAATATTAATTTTAATCAAAAGTAATAAGATTAAAATATGATTTTCTTAGCATCAATCCAAAAATAAAACGAACATTGTGAGTTTGTGCTGGTTGTTATATTTTTTTAATAACAGCTAACATAAACTTATGAGTATTAAATTACACAGCTCAATAATAAAATTATTTTAGAGTGTATAAAAATGATTATATAAAAAAGATCATACTTTGACTTTTCAGTTTAAAATGTAACGAGTTTATTATTAAAAAAATTTGTTTCTGTTTTAAGATTTTGCATGATAAATATTTAAGAAGTATATATTATCTATTTATTATTTAATTTGTTTTTGAATATATTACTTTATACATGGTCTTCCAAAACGAATGATAGTTTTAAACTACTGTAATTATGTTAATTATTACCGAAGAAGAATGCAACATACACCTATTGATAGAGTAACTGTCCAGTCACATCTGCATTCAGACAGCCTGTTGTCTGCTGCCTTTAGGAAATGCTGTAAATAAAAAGTGTTCTACAACAGAGAAAGTGTTCTGCTGTTTGCAAAGTCGGAATTACTTGTCATTGTAAAATGCGAGTAATCTACAGGAGCGGTAGAATTGAGGCTGCTGTGGGAGGAGTGACAGTGGATATGCTGTAGCAAACATAGGAATAATTTGAGTATTGAATGTGCGCCATGTGACCAGAGGTATATGCATTGAGAAATTGTAGTGGACAAATGTGAAACTTGGACAATTTCCAATATTTTAATGTGTGTTAAAATGTTCCCAGATAATAATTAACATGGCTAATACAATAATTTGAAATCTTTTTGGAAGACCATGTATTTTTTTCATCAAAATATAAATTTTAGAAATTCATGTAATTGAAACACCTTAAGAAATCAGCATCAACAATAAAAATATGCTCATACATACAAAGTCCTTAATTTAATGGACCTGTATATAAATTTTGTGTAGTGGTGAATGGCTGCTGCCACATTCTCTAATTATCCACTCGTCGGCACCAACAGGCATTGTTCGTTCGAGCCGACAGATGTTTGTACACCAGTAGTAGTATTAATATAGTATTTTAAACGTATTCATTTTTATCCAGTCAGAGTTTTTGTTCGGAACCTTGTGTTGTTTAATGCTAATTAATGGTCATACTCACATTCGAGAACCAAGAGTTAGAAGTTAACCAGTAAGCATTTGCTTTACTTTTAGTGCATGAATGTTTATCAGTTAACTTTGTAATTCTTGGTTGCAAATATGGCCTTAAGTCATTTAGATAAAATTAGGGTTTTGTTCCATTTATAGAACAATAAAAATAAAATGAAAGTATTGTATATCAGAAATGTTCATTACTCAACAATAGTATTCCTGTTTTACTACATTATGCATTCAGTTCACGTGCATTGAATATTGTATGTTGCATGTCTTAAACATATTAGTTTAATGGACTCACAGCATTAAGAAACTTTCTCCAATAAGTCCATTAAATTGAGGATAATTATAATAAATACTCTTTTTTTTTTATTATTCAATTTCTTGTAGAACTTAATTTAATTTTAGATTTTGCTTAAGATAATGAGTAAATTTAGTTATAAAGTACTTATGTTAATAATAATTTAATTTCATGCTGACGCACGAACGAAAAATTCTTTAAACATTTAACATATTCAAGAAAACTCGAATAATTAGTTTCCCTTTACTAAATTCTCTTAAGTCAAAGAGAGTTTAAGCTTTTGATATGCTTAAAAGAATTTAGTTTCAACATAATTGAGAGTATTTATAGAAAGGTAATAAACTTCTGTAGGGGAATAAACATTATTATTAAAGAAGGAATTAATAAAGAATTTAAAAATCTTTTATCAAACTTAAATAACACTATTACAAAAGTGTGATCGCATTTAACGATCACAACGTTCCTCCTCATCGATTGGTATTAGTGGACAATTATGATATTGTCTTCCAGCATGCTCTATTTGCAAATAATTAACTGTCATCACTGCCAGTTCGAAGAAAAAAAATTATATATATATATATATAAATCATTTTCTGAAATTAACATTTAAAAACAAAATTTGTATCAAAAATCTACTGAGAACCATTCATTGAAAAAAAAATTTGGAATTTATTTACAAATATAAAGAGAAATTCAAATTTGATTAGATCCAAAATGTTCTTTAATATTCATAAATGTATATTATAGAAAAATTCCAAATAATAATAATTATATAAATCACATTCAGGAGCATTTTGTTTGACAGTTAATGCATTGAACAAAAAATTATTTACATTGAATCGTGACAGTTTAATTCTAGATATAAGATGTTAAATAGATATAAAAATATCTTTGCAGCTTGATTGAATTATGTTCTGTTGAAAATGTATACAGCGAGTCTTCACTTAATGTTGTCGATAGGTTCTTGTAAACTGGCGTTAAGCAAAACGGCATAACGAAACCACAGGCTAGTTGATATAAAGATATAATTCGGTCATTATTATTATAATTGGATCGTGTTTGCAACCTCAAGCATTTAATTCCTACCTCACAGAATCAGTTTTACTGTTTATAAAGAAAATTAAACAATAGTAAATGATCACAAATGTACTTCTATCTTACCTCAATGACATAAAACAACATTAAGGGAGGACTTGCCGTGTACTGTATATTACTTTAAATTATCTCTCTATCTCAAAGACAAATTTAATATTAAACTGTTTTAAATATCAGTTTTTCTTACCTTTAAGTATTTGACATATTCTATTAAGTTTCATGGAATCTTTATGGTGTTTTTTTCCGTCTTGTGATTCTGTATTATTTAATAAATGTACGTTTATGTATCTTTTTTGTCTATAAAAATTCAAAATGCCATAAGTCAGAAATAATTAATGCTTATTCAAAATACAAAATAAATGTTAATTTGGAAATGGCATTTAAGTAATTAGAAGTGTCCGACAACAGACACTGCTCTTTTGTCCATATTAAATGCATGAGGAGAAATGAAACATTCTAAAATTTTTGTGTATTTTTGAATCTCGAGTGCTTACTAAAACTATTTTCTTGTAAGGATATCTTTATTGTTTTAAACAATGATCAAGAAGATTAATTTATGTATTTTATATATTTAAAAAAAAAAAAATACTACTTACATTCCTTGCAAGAATTAAAATTTTTTTATATGTGCTAATTTATTTAAACTTTCTTGATGTATAATTTTTCATGAGAGATTTTCTTTGAATTTATTATTTAAATGAATTTTATAAATTGTTTGATCGTTTTATTTACAGACTTTTTATATTCGACTCATTTTTTAACAGCTTATTACTCAAAGGTTATAATTTGTATCGTGTTTTTGTTACAAACACCAAAAAAAAAAATAATAAAAAATACTCTTCCGTTTGTTTGTTTTTAAGTGCGATACTTGCCCGGCTTTGAAAAAATTGTAATTCACGATTATTTAGAGAGCTATGCACCGAATGTGTTGACGAAAAATATTCCACTTTACTCCAAGCTGAAATTGGCAATGCTAAATAATGTTTAAATCAAATTTTGGCAACTGAGGATTGTAAGTTTATTGTTGATAAATTTGTTGTTTGCTGCTCAACAACTTCAAAAAGACGAATGATGTGTAAGATAATGGTAAGGAATTATGTGCCTTACTGAAAATGTGTAGCAGATGAATTGTGAAGTTTGTAAGAAAAAGAAGCATGTTTTGATGATAGAATAAAAAGTAAAACTTTCGCTTATCGAGTGTTTTTTCCGACAATCTCTATAACTGTATAAATATAACATTTGACAAACGTACACATGATAGACATTTATTTCCAAGAAAAATTCTCTTAAGCATTAAAAGTCACTGCCGAAGGTAACCAAAAGTTTTTTATTTTTATAGAAAAATATATTTTTAGGCTTTTTCGAAGCAATGTCCGAAGCTTCGAGAAAGCCAAAAAAAGTTTCTGTAAAAATAAAATTTTCGGTCGCCTTAATCTAGTGGCATCTTTGTATGTTTAAGAAAATAATTTATTACAAAATTTCATGGAGTAACACTTGAACACTTGATTTATACTCTCAGTTGAAGACAAATTTCAGAATTGCTTTATGATAATATACACAAATGATTAAGTTCTCGATCTTAAAATGTAACCAGGAACTGAAAAATCCAAATCTTAACACACTAAAGTATTTTAAGGCACAGAATATTTAGGAGAAAGTGTATACATTTAATATATTTAAGCCATTTGTGTTCGGTCCCAAATGTTTTTTTTTTTTTTTTTTTTGGTATTCTGGTTAAAAAAAGTAAAGTTCTCAATTTTATCGGTGAAAAAGGAATTTTAAAAGAATCATTTACAATTAAAATATTCAACATGAATACAGGCAAAGACTGCTTAGCTATAGCAAAAATAATAATGTGTTGAATAAAAATGTTTAATTACAGTTTGGCTAAGTAGACATTACCTCTAACTCAGTGTTCCGCAACCTTTTTCTACTCACGGCACACCAAAATGTTATTCCCCTCAATAACGTATGATATGATACTATTAATAGAATTTTGTAATGCCATAAACCACAAAACTCAATTATGTTGAGTTTTGTGAGTTACACTAGGTACCAATGGCTGTGTACTATGCAGGACCAGAGTCAAGGCATAGTAACTTCAAAAAAAGACAAAAATTAAATAAGCATGTCATTGTGTGTTTGTATTCAGGACTTTCCTAACAATATGACATGTATTCAATATAGAGGCCTTCTGTAGTGTGATGTATGTGTTTCTATTCAAGTTTAATGTTTCCAGGCTTTTGTGTAGCATTTGTGGTATGACACCTGTAGAAGAGAGAATGACAAGTACAATAAGCACCCCTATCCATCCTCCACAGATGCCTTATTTCCTGGGCAAGTTCTGTGTACTTGCTGAATTTTTCACTGCATGTGTTTTGTACATTGTAAGTGTTTGGAACGGATATGTCTATAATGTATGTGATTTTATTGTGTTTGTCAATGAATGTAATGTCTGGTCTGTTGTGGTAAATTGTTTTATCTGTGGTTATGACTGTTGTAGTACAGTTTGTGCGTGTTGTTTTCTAATACTGTCTGTTGAACGTATTTGTAGTATGGTTTGTGGATGTCTAATAATTTGTGTTTCTTGGAAAGCTCTTGATGTATTTGCTACTTGATTATGTTGATGTAAACTATGTCTGTGCCAAGAGTTTGCAACCAGAAGTGATGTGTTGTATAGTTTCTGGCATGATGTGACATTTTCTGCAAGTGTCATTTGTGAATGTTATAACTTTCAGTATGTGTTTTCTGTAGTTTTACTGTTTATGACCTGATCCTGTATGGCAATCATAAATCCTTCCGTCTCCTGAAAGAGGCATCCACGAGCTAACCAGCTATTTGACAGTTTTGTCAATAAAATCCTGGGCTAGATCATAGGGATATCTGCCATGGAGTGCCTTTTGAACCCATGATTGCTTAAGTGTCTATGCTTTTTATATGTTCTGTCTTGTCCATATGATACAAATGTAAGTTTAATGGTGATTTTATTTGAGTCTGCTAGACATATTGCTTTATGTAACTGTGATGTTTCTTGCTTTTGTAGAAAAACTCTCGCAGTGTGTGTATTTGTTTGTAGTGAAGGTTTACTATGTCAATCAGGTCATGTCCGCCATCTTTACATGGAAGGGTTAATCTTTCTATGGTGGATTTAGGATGATATTGTTTATGCTTAGTAAGGGTTGTTCTTGTTTTCCGTTTGAGTTGCTCAAGATCTGTGTGAGTCCAATGTATAACTCAAAAGAATAAGTGGGTACTGAGACGACATATGTGTTTATTGCTTTAACATCATATTTCATCAGTGAATGAAATACAAGCATAAGAAACACAACAACTGCGATAAAAGTATATAAATAAAACTTGAAATTAATAGAATATGTAAAAGTTCACGTCACACCTTTTACCTTGTGACGGCACACAGGTTGCTGAACACTGCTCTAACTTACCAAATGCCATTCAGGAAATTTGTTAGTCTATGGGAGATTGCAACTTCACACGTGTGAAGTTGCAATATTTATAGTTATATTTTTATCTTGCTTCCTTTAACAGTTACAATAAAACTTATATATTGCAAGAAAAGGATATATGAGGAAAAATTCAAAGAAAAAATGTTTACCTTATTAATTACATTACATAATTAATCTGCAGACAATTATAAGAATGCTTTTTATTTTTAACTTGCATTTACACATCAAATGACAAATTAGTAATGCCAATTTTGAAGGACAGCATTTATGATTTTTTATTACATGTCCTTTTCATATCTGATCTCATATATTTTTTCCATCAAATAAATCATTGTAATGATTTTAAAAAATTTGTGATTAAAATAATTTAATATTAAAAAAAAGGTAATTATGGTACATCATTTACAGTAATAAAAGTAACAAGGCTAAGTGACTCTCCTCAAGAAATCAGAATATTACTGCTTTCGTATCAAAAAATGAAATAGAAATTAGTGAAGCTTCAGTATTGTGAATTACCTCCGGAAAACAATTTATTAAATAGAAAACATACCAGTATTGGAAATGCAATGTAGGATAATTTCAAATGGCAACCTTTTTGATACATTCAAAATGATAATAAATGGTTTCCATTATAACACAAAAACATTCTAGATTAAACCAAGTGTCATCTAGAATGTTTTTGTGTTATAATGGAAACCATTTATTTTGAATGTATCAAAAAGGTTGCCATTTGAAATTATCCTTGGATACAGATGTTTCTAGTGTCCTTAGGAGAGTGATACTGCACAGATATTGTAATGTACCATACTCTGAATGGTTGTCTTGTGGCAACTGTTGCATAAATGAGTCAACATAATAATTGACATTAATTTTACTCTTTTCCGAAATGCTTAATGGAAAATATCAAAAACTAATTTCTATTAAAACAAGGTGAAGATAACATTGATAAAATGTTGAAAGTGCTTGCGGTATATTAAAAACTGTTTAATGTCGATAGACAGTAGTTATTTCTTGTTTTAATGGATAATATTCTGGTGTGGTGATTAATAATTTTTAAAAATTAATTTTTCAAGACTATTAGCATGTCACTTTATGGCATTTTATTTGTATTCTGCCAGAATTTTATCTTTATCCCTAACAGAAGCTTTCTTTAGTTTTTTAATATTACTTTCTAATTTGGCTTCTGTGAGTAAACAAACTGTTGAGCAAGATTCCGAGATAACAAATGATCTTTGAGTAAGAAGACATATTTTCATTATTTTAAAATTGTATCAAATCAAAACAAAGTGATGCCATCTAATTAAAATTAAATTGTGTCGGTTCTGTTTTAAATTTAATCAAAATGCTAATCTTTCATGTATTCAAATCAATTTTTCCACCATTTTGTTACCTGTACTTTTAATTGTTTTTAAGATATTATAATCAAAACATTAAAAACTGCAGCTTTCTCTACTTCCATTTAAAACTTTTGTGCATTGGGATTACCACCATCAACTTACTTTTATCTTTCTTACAGGGAAAAAAGTTATTACTGTATTATTACGAAATGGTCAGAAGGACCAAATTCTGTTATTTCAAAATTAATAAGTAAATATCTTTTTAGCACAGGTAAATCTTGATGGAATATCTTCTATGTAACAACTATTTAAACTTAAAAAATTCTAATTTTTTACATTAGCTATTAAGGCCATTTTCAAACTGGGGACTTGGATGCGCCACTAGAAAAGCTCTGCAGCGACCACTCATGGTGGGAATGTATCTCCCTGCCGGATATGCACTGCTAATGCCCATATGAAAGTTAAAAATTAATTTTTCTTTCATGTTTCTATTATACTAATTATTTTATAATTATTTAACTTCAAATATTATACAAATACACACAAATGTCATTAAAAACTATGTTTCAACTATATTTATATACAGTGTTTTATACATAAAAATACCTCAGAGTTTAACAACGCTCAAACACTTTATACAGATCCGGTAAATTTGCCAATTGTAATACCGTACTATCTTCGGCAAAGTGGGAAGGTGGAAGAAAGGAAGATCGGAAAGAAGAAAAAAGGACGTGTTCCATCATCCACTCCCATTCCGTTCTTTCCTAAACATGTAAAATCAATTTAAATTCAAAGAATAAAAATTAAAGTGAGTCATAATTATAATTACCTCATTTTCGGATTTATTCGAATTTGGTGGAAGGGAAAAGAAACGGGCGGTTTCCCGACAAAATGTCTGGAAACATTCTTGCTCTTTGTTCCATTCTACTTCGGTTGCTAATCTCAGCATGTATATAGGAAGTCCTTCTAAATTTGGAATGTATTTTTCCAATAACAAAGGTAATCCACACAAATTTCCATCCTGTTTGATATTTCTAATTACTTTAAATGTGTCGACTATGGAAATTTCAAACAGAAAATTTTTTACCTTGTCAATTTCAAAAGAAAAATAATCATCCAGCATTTCCGCCTTTGTCTGTAGGAAATCTACTATGTATTGTGCTAAATCAGATTTCTCACCATCCGTTTCAGTCCATCCACTCTCCTCGCTATCTAATGCTATTAAAGCTAATTCTTTTATAGATGCTGGTTCCTTGAATAATAACAAGCACAAAATTAATATTTTAAATAAAATTTTTAAAATACAGAATATTTATAGAGAGTATACTCTGTATAACATTTTCACTTTACATAAAGAACAATTATAACTTCAAAGTGACATTTATTATTAATATGAATCATAATTCAAGTCAGAAGAAAAAATTAAAAATAAAACTTCATCATTTTAATTCCCAAAATTTAGTCAAATATCATTCAAAAGATATAGAATGAGCATAAATATTGCCCAGAATACGAGTTATGAGTGTCCTAGATTATAGAATCTAGGACACTCGTAACTCGTATTCTGGCAATTTATTTATATATCTGTATATTTATGAAAACTGCTTAGTAAATTTTGTTTGAAATGAGATGGAATGCATGAAAGAAGTAAATCATAAAAATATTTTACAACATTGCAAAAAGTACAGTCACTCATTTTATATCTATGTTGATTTGTAAATGCACTGAAGATACAAGCATACAATTTTCGAAAATGTTTATGTACTGTTTATTGTTGTATTCTAGCATTTTCAACTTTTCTTTTATCACAAAATTTGCTTAATTGTGAATATGTCTGGGGATTTGGCATATATACTTCCTTTTCTTGAATAGTTTAAAACACCAATGCACCACTACTACTTTCAAAAGAATCCCCATGGGTGACAAAACACTTTTTCCAGTGCTTGTATGGCTTCTGAAAACATTGCCTTAAGCCATCTTTTGCACCCACCCATAACGCCTCATTTGATGACTCAAAACGATGGAAAAATGATCTNCACTATTTTACAGCCTCTCATATATCTCTCTCCATATCATATGATGCTTTTAAGTTACTTCATAGGAAAAAATCCAGACTGGAGAATGGGGTAGCCACGTAACATATTCTATCTAGTAATTGTCAAATGTTTTTTCATGTCACCGATCTGTCTGAAAATGAGCTGATACATCACTGTACCAATATTAAAGCTGTTGTAGTTTCACCAGCATTGTCATCAAGCCATTTATCTGTTGTCCTGTTTAGAATGTTCAAATATTGAACACTGTTCCAGGTTCTATCTTCTTGATTATATATTTCTTAGCTAAGTTTGTGCCTGCTGTAGACCTGGTCAAGCCATACTGCCGAATCTATATCAAATAAAAGTTGGTATACTGACCAGCACAATATTATGATAATATTTATATATTCTATTGCATATTTTTAGATTGGTTCTTCATTCTTGTGATGAACATTCAGACATCAAATAATTATTGGGCTGTAATTTTAAAATTGCAGACCTCTGTCCATCTGTCTGTCCTTCCTTAATCTTAAGAACAGTTAGATAGATGAATGTTGAGATCAGAAAAGGAAAGCTTAGGGGCAGGAGGCCTGATTAATTAACTACATATGAACTTCTGGTTTGGTCCAAAAGTCAAGTTATTTCAATTCAAAAATTTTCTACAGAACAGTTAGATAGATAACTGGCACGACTCTCTTGTTAACAGGAAAGTATGACATACAGAGGCCCACTAAAATCAGAAGCACTATATTGAGATCTAAAAAAATTGCAATCCAGCATTGTGACAAAGTCACAATAAGTAATTTGCTCGTTATTTTTTATAATTATACATTATATTTCTTACACAAGCTGTGATTTACCCTGTATATTTTAAAAATAATAATTCTTACCGAAAAACGTAATACTCCAAAATTTCCGAAATCACGAATCATCAGTTGGTAGAAATATTCTTCGCTAAAGAAAAAATATAAATGTAGAATAAATATCATAAAACCCATATGAAAGTTAAAAATTAATTTTTCTTTCATGTTTCTATTATACTAATTATTTTATAATTATTTAACTTCAAATATTATACAAATACACACAAATGTCATTAAAAACTATGTTTCAACTATATTTATATACAGTGTTTTATACATAAAAATACCTCAGAGTTTAACAACGCTCAAACACTTTATACAGATCCGGTAAATTTGCCAATTGTAATACCGTACTATCTTCGGCAAAGTGGGAAGGTGGAAGAAAGGAAGATCGGAAAGAAGAAAAAAGGACGTGTTCCATCATCCACTCCCATTCCGTTCTTTCCTAAACATGTAAAATCAATTTAAATTCAAAGAATAAAAATTAAAGTGAGTCATAATTATAATTACCTCATTTTCGGATTTATTCGAATTTGGTGGAAGGGAAAAGAAACGGGCGGTTTCCCGACAAAATGTCTGGAAACATTCTTGCTCTTTGTTCCATTCTACTTCGGTTGCTAATCTCAGCATGTATATAGGAAGTCCTTCTAAATTTGGAATGTATTTTTCCAATAACAAAGGTAATCCACACAAATTTCCATCCTGTTTGATATTTCTAATTACTTTAAATGTGTCGACTATGGAAATTTCAAACAGAAAATTTTTTACCTTGTCAATTTCAAAAGAAAAATAATCATCCAGCATTTCCGCCTTTGTCTGTAGGAAATCTACNTTAAACTTAATAAGTTTTTCTTATTTTAAAATTACTCTATGCATCAGATAGACGAGTGTAACATGGAGCAATGGATAGTCATTAAATTTTACTCAGATTAGAGAAAAGTCCCAAAGAAATTTTATGAGATTTAAAAATTGTGTTTAGTGCTGAAAAGATAATCTACAAAATGGAGGAAAGCTTCCTCAGTGTGGCAGATTAGACTTGAAAAATTGTGAGTGATGATGATGTTGATTACTTTTTTGATTATGCTCGTATTATTTATCAAAAAAATTTGTTTCCAAAGGGACAATCAACGATTAATGCAGTATTATTTAAATGTCATGAAATGGGTATGAGAATAAATGTGCCAAATGAGAAATGAATAATATACTTTCTTACTATGTTTATATGTAATAATAAAAATACAAATATACAAAGTCTTGCATTTTGATCAGTCATGTTTTTTTCTTGTTTGTGGAGTGTTAAAGAATCTGTCCAATGTCGATTGATTTTAATCTCTCTAAGATTTTTCAGAAGTAATTAATAGCATTATCATAGTAGAGATTCCCAAGCCTGTTAACCTCAACCTGGTTTGGATGCCATTCTATGACCGTTGTTCTGACATCCCTCCACTTCTTCAAAAGATCTTTAATAGCAGATATCGGCATTATTCCTCTTTCATCATCTTTTTTTTTTCAGAAGAAAATACATCTTGCTGAGTTTCTTGGTGTTCTTCATTCAAGAGTTCTTGGAGTTCTTCTGTCGTCAGATCAATTTCAGGTTTCAATGCCATCTTCATTCACTTCCAATTCCAGATCTCTAGCAGTTATCACAACTTCATCCATAATTTCAAGGACATCATCTTCATCTCACTGAATGCAGGAGGGACACAGCTTTCGCCAAGCAGAATTCAACCGTTGTTGAGTGACTTCTGACCATGCCTTTTGAATGAGTCATACAGCTTTGAAAATATCAAATTTTTCTTTCCGAAACATTTTTAATGTCATTGTTGAGGAGAACTGGCATGCTTCAAAACACCACCGAAACAGTGTTCAAATGTACAATTTCTTGAAACCTGCAATAACTTCTTGATTCGTTAATTGAATCAACAAAGTGGTATTTGGAGGTAGAAACTGAACTGTCAACTAGGGAAATTCTTCCAGCAAATTATCTTCAAGGTCTTTTGGGTGTACTGGTGCACTGTCCAATAGCAACAGTGCTTTTAATGGCAATTCATTAGCCATTCTTTGAAAAGAGCCTGCATGACTCATGCCTTTTTATTCGATCTCCATATCACTGGCATTTTTCTTTAATTATGGAATTATTTTGAATGCTCTAGGGTCCTCAGAGTGATAGATAAAAAGCAGGATAAGCTTCATATCACCACTAACATTAGCTCCCAAAACTAATGTCAATCGGTCTTTCATGGGTTTATGCCCAGGAATATTTTTTTGCCTTTTATGATATAGGCAGAGTTCTGCATGTGCTTCCAAAATAAGCCAGTTTCATCACAATTAAAAATTTGTTGTGGACAATATCCTTCTTTTTTAACAAATTCTTCAAATTTGAGACAGAACTTCTCAGCTTCTTCTTTATCTGCACTAGCAGACTCACTGTGAATTACGACATTTTTAATGCTAGATCTCCTTCTAAACTTTGCAAACCATCCAGTGGTAGCCTTGAATTTTATCTCCTCATGTGAACAAATGTGAAGTTTGTTTCTTCAGTTCTTCAAAAATTTCTCTAGCTTTCTCTTGAATGATAATCATACTAGTTACATCTCTTTTCATTTCCCTTTCTTTTATCCAAATTAAAAGCAATCTCTCAATTTTTTCACAGATGACACATTTTTGTTTCTCAGATGTGATTTTCATTACTCCTTTAGCTGCTTGGATCTTCTTGATTATATATTTCTTAGCTAAGTTTGTGCCTGCTGTAGACCTGGTCAAGCCATACTGCCGATCAACATCAGACATCTTTTGCCCACTATTCACCTTGGCTATTATCTCTTGCTTGGTTTCTATGGTGAGCATGGTTCTTGACACTCCACTCTTTTTAGGCTCCATAATATTATCAGTTTCTTTTTTAAATAAAAAGTTTAGAAAAGCACTTACAAAATTCAAAGAACAGAAATCAACTAGTGCACAAAAAAATTATGTGAATGTGAGGCTCGGATGAAATTCGAAATTTGGTGTTAAAATGTCAACAAATATCTGATGGGACAGTTAAACTCTCACCTTTCAAAAATAAAAACTGATGCAAAACTTAACAAGTGCTAGATAGTCTTGTGAAGATTAAAAAATTATTTCTTTCACAAAGGTAAATAAAAGGCTGGAATTACAAGGAAGAGTTTCAAAGTTCAGAGGAATAATATTTGATCAGTATTGAGTTGAACATCAATGTCAACGTTTCCCGCACTCCGAAAGGTTTCAAATTGTCACCTGGAGATAAATGAATATCAATCGGTATTTGTTATTTTACATTGCTTCTTCTTGTGTTTGTTCTGTGAGATGTTTGTTATCCGAACTTGAGTTCATTGTCCAAACAAAAATCTTTTGCAAAAGTGTTTGTTGTCCGATTTGTTCACTAACCAATTGTCCACTGTATTTAGCTTACAGGTGTACACAAGATGGATAACATTGCCATCTTGTGTACATCTTAATAATTAAAATTAATTTTTGATTAATTAATAATCACAAGAATTATAACACATTTCTATAATAATGTAACCACTGTACACTTAATCATGGATTCCATCTGACCAACAAGCTGGCCATGTGGAGTTTTCCAGGTTTTTTCATCTGTCTAACACCAAAATAGATCCAAAATATTTTAGAATGGCCAAATAGCCTAAAATAAAAAACTGATGCTGTTTAAATGAAAATGTAAATTTGTAAATAAATGTTTACCATTATGACAACTTTCTTCTACCTCTTTAATTAAATTATGAACACTTGTTAATTGAATTTCTCTACGTTCCAATTTATCTTTACTATTTTCTCTAGAAAATATGATCCAAATTAAAAAATAATAAATAAATAAATATATATAAACAAAATTAATGTCGATGATAATCACTCTTTTTCTGTTTCTATTTCGGGTTCTTCAACCTCCATTGGAGTAGGAGCTTCCATAGTTTGTTCCGATGTTGCCACTTTCGGTTTTGGTTGAAGAAAAGCATCCAATTTTTGCTCTTTACTGTCAGTTCTAACTAAATGATGATCGTATACTTTTTGAGTTTCTTGATTAGATTTGACTACAGTTGAAGCTGTTACAGAAATTTCGGGTAACAGTGCCTGAAAGATATAGAAACATGAAACTAATTTCAATATCAAATTCAGATCAATTTACAATATTTAGATTTGGAATTAAACTTAATAAGTTTTTCTTATTTTAAAATTACTCTATGCATCAGATAGACGAGTGTAACATGGAGCAATGGATAGTCATTAAATTTTACTCAGATTAGAGAAAAGTCCCAAAGAAATTTTATGAGATTTAAAAATTGTGTTTAGTGCTGAAAAGATAATCTACAAAATGGAGGAAAGCTTCCTCAGTGTGGCAGATTAGACTTGAAAAATTGTGAGTGATGATGATGTTGATTACTTTTTTGATTATGCTCGTATTATTTATCAAAAAAATTTGTTTCCAAAGGGACAATCAACGATTAATGCAGTATTATTTAAATGTCATGAAATGGGTATGAGAATAAATGTGCCAAATGAGAAATGAATAGCTTATCAACGATTGTTTTCTCTTGTATGATAATACACTTGCTCTTAACATGCTACTTATTAGATTTTGGACTCTACACAAACCACAGTCAGCCATTTAACATTGACTCTATTCATATGATTTGGCTCTTACTGACTTTTATTTCTGCAAATTGAATTGGCCTTGTAATGAAAACATTTTGTTGAGATGCGAAACATCTAGAAGGTAATGACCAAACAGCACAACAATATTTCAATTAAAGACTTCCATTGCATCTTCAGTAATTTCTACAATTGATGTCAATATTGTAGAGCTATAACAAGAAATTATTTCAAAAATGCCTAAATTTTTTTGAAAAATAAAGGTTTGTGTTTATGTTATAAGAACAGTCTCATTACTTAATTGGTACACTTGTGTATTTATAGGTTCTCCACTGAAATATCTGTCCAGGGGCAAAGGAGATCTTTCCAGCATTACAAGTCTACACATGTGCATGCTTGTTTTGGCACTAAAAATAATCAAAAGGAATCAATTTAAGATTATTCAGCATCTCAAATATCACCAAACACGGATTAATACACAAATAATCTCTGACTGTAAAGGATAAAGACATTTTAGAAATTGATACAAAGAAGTGAGCTTCATTTTGTATGAGAACATGTTCAAAATCACTGTCTTCAACAGCAATACAAGACATAGACAGTTGAATATGGCACTATGGTTGTCACTAGCATTCCTGGTGTCACTATTTTACAGCCTCTCATATATCTCTCTCCATATCATATGATGCTTTTAAGTTACTTCATAGGAAAAAATCCAGACTGGAGAATGGGGTAGCCACGTAACATATTCTATCTAGTAATTGTCAAATGTTTTTTCATGTCACCGATCTGTCTGAAAATGAGCTGATACATCACTGTACCAATATTAAAGCTGTTGTAGTTTCACCAGCATTGTCATCAAGCCATTTATCTGTTGTCCTGTTTAGAATGTTCAAATATTGAACACTGTTCCAGGTGCTATCAATGAACACAGGACAAAGAGCATTTTTATCTTTGTTTGATGTTTGAAAATTTTGCGTATTATTGCTGAATTACCACAAAATTGTTACATGTTTCTTTTGTTGATTAATTTATTTTATTTTAATGAATGCATTAATTTATTATTGTGGCATTTTTTAAATGAATTAATCTTTTGTCCCCGAATAGATATTTAAGTATCATTTATTTTAGCACTGAAATAAGCATGCATCACATGCATACACTGCCGCAATGTGGTAAGATTTCTTTTACTCTTTGACATATGTTTAAGTGGACAATCCATATATTTATTAATGAAAATTTAATCTTGAATCCAATTATAAACAAGTTAGTCATCTATTGAAATATTAGCTATTTTTCATATAAAGTATCATTATATTAATTTATAATCTGTACAAATAAGAAATTAATGAAAACAGATCTAGACTGTTTCATTAATGCCCTTCCAGATTTCTCGAAAAAACTTGTTTGCAGAAATCAACTGAACTATCTAAAGCAAACATAATTAGCATATAATGATAAAATTATATATTATTGTTATGATGACAATTTCTTACTTGCGTTAAAAATGTTCTGGATTTATTCGACCCTAATAGCTTTGCATCGACAGATTGCTGTATTTTCTCTATTATTGCTTCTTCGTGAAGAAAATGAACTTCGTGTTTTGTAGGATGAACATTGACATCGACATTTTGTGGTGAAATTTCTAATCTAAATAAAACGTAAACTTTGCTCTAAGTTATAAATTATCAAATATAAATAAAAATCAATATAAATAGCAATAAAGAAAAAATTAAATTTTACATTTTACCTTTGGAAGCATATCTAATCACTTGGCTATTATGTCTATAATAATTGTGTATAGAATATTTTAACAAATTATTATTGTACATCATGTGTTTTATGATTTTTATATTGTAGAGGTGTGTGTGTGTGAATATAAACTATTTAACAATATGAATTATTGTGCAATAGTACAAACTTAAATAATTAACTGAATTTAAAAATATAAAAAATTTAATTTTTGACTTCAAAATCATTTTAACACAATCATAAATTTAAATCAAAATTATAATTAATGAATATGTAATTTTGTATGATTTACTAATGAAGTATGAATAGATTATTTCTTACAATTGTTGTTATTTCTCAAAAAAAAAAAAAACACTAATAAAAAAAGATGGAATTTTATTTTATTTTTCTATTATTTCTTTATATTTCTCATCAGAATCATCACATAATGTAAATAAATATTTATTGACTTTTATATTGTATTAAATAAATCATTACAAAAACTAAGGAAAACACTTTACTTCAATAATTTTATCAAAATTCTTATGTTATTATACCAATTTTATAATAACCAATGGAAAAAAGCCAGCAATGAGTTGCTTAACTTTCCCAGCAACATTTAAAACTGAGTGTAGTGCTATCTGTTATTAAAAACTTTTTATATTTTTAATTATTAAAAAAAAATGGCAAAAAGCTTAATTTTGAGAGTAAGGATGGATTTATAAAAAATTGTGAGTGCTAATATTGAGTAAAATCATCATTAAGTCCAATCCTATTGGAGATACACACAACCCTCTTTACCTCCCACCCCCTCGAGCTTTAATCACCAAAATTTAATAGCATCAATCCCCCTAATAAAAAGACCTCTCAGCCAAATTTCACAAATTTTCAACAAAAAGCACAGCAGTTATTAAGCTTCAAAGAGGGTGAACAAAATTGTTATTTCTGTATGTATAGATGTTAATGTTAATGTGTATGGATACCCCCAAAATTTTTTTTTCATTTCTTGTGGTCCTGAGTCCAAAAATGTAAAAATCTGGGATCATTTTTGCCAGGTTGCCATACTTTTCCTCTGTTATACATAACAGCAGGGAAAGTAAAAATGCCCAAGTGTCCTCTGTTTATGGGATTTAGCAACCTAAGATGAAACAAGCAATTATTTATTGTGACATAGTCACTATGCCAGGCTGCAATTTTTAATCATATTTTTAATTTAATTCATTTAAAATATATGCTCTCCACCTCAACTTAGTTTCCCTGTACATCATACTATCCCTTTAATAATAGAGTCATGCCAATCATCTATCTAACATCTTTCAGAAAAAAATTTTTGAACTGAAATAACATGACTTCCAGTTTGCATTGAAAGTTCTTATATGATTAATCGGGGCATCCTGCCTGAGGTTTCCATAATTGGACCCTCTTTCATCTATCTAACTCTATCTTCAAGATTAAGGAAAGACAGATAGCTGAACGGAAGACAGTAGGGATTTATAGGTTTACAATTTTTTCAAATTTCAGCCCAAAAATTATGTAATTGAAAGCAAAAAACATGAAATTATCGACTATTAAGCCACTTCAAACTATGTAGTTTCTTGAACTCTGGATATTAAATCTTATATACAAACAGAGCTTGGTGAGTATCATCTAATTCTTATGTCTTACTACAAGTTAAGTTAAGTTTCATACCCCATGTAAAGAAATGGATGACTATTCTTTGGTAAGTAAGCAATGTAAATGGATTCAATAGCTTTTCTCAATGCAGTACATTCTACGAGTCTGTCTAAAATAAAAAAAATTATTTATTAATAAATATTATAACAGCAATGTATGATTTAGAAATTCTGATATAAATTATAAACTTACGATTTATAAAAAGTAAAAATATGCACTTCTTAACTGAATAATTAGCATTAGAAATATATCCAGATACTTTGAATTTCAGCTGTGTATCTTCACATTCAAAACTTAGCAATTCTCTACAATGAAATAATCAATATTGTTTACATTAATAGAAAAAAATATTAATGAAAAATATCTATATTTTTCATACAAGATGTCTATAAACTCCATATGCACTTTTAAATATTAATAGTTTTGGAACTACACAAGGTAGAATTAATCTGTAAAAACCTCCATGAACCTAATGTGTGTAGTTTTTTCTCATTACTTCAAAAATTGATTATTCTTTTATCTCTTATTTTGTTTATTTTTGAAACTTCATAATGAATTTTTCAGAATTGTTATTGACCTATGACTTCTCTAGAAGAAAAAGTAAACTGCATTCTTTGGTTGGGTGAGCTGAAATCCGTCATTTCTGTCCAAAGAAGGGTCCATGGGTCAATAACAATTCTGAAAAGAAAACAGTCATATTGAAGATTCAATAAGTAAATAATAATAGATAAAAGGATAATAATTAATTTTTGAAAAAAGAAGAAAAAACTAGACACATCAGGCTTATAAATGTCTTTACAAATTAATTCTATCGTGTATAGTTCCAAAATTATTAATATTTAAAAGTGCACATGGACTTTATAGACACACTGTATTTCAAATAAATTAATATAATTCTAATAATTCTTAAAAATAATAATATCTAATAGACAGTTTTAAAATGTTTAAACTTATCTGAAATATTTCAAAATATAAAAAAACTACAATACTTCATAATACATTATGTCAATAATATTCAGATAATTGATGCTCTACTGTAGTTCTAATAATACTTCTATCCTGAAATTAGTATAGTTTCTTTTACTGTTAGAATTCATTGTCTACCAAACTTGAAATCATGTATTTACTTGGCTTATGACAATTCATGGATATATCATGATGCATCTATACACATTAAAGAACTTGTAACATAGCTCTTCACTTCAATTTAAAGATTTAATAGTCTAATGTTAATTAGGTTGGTGAATACAAAAAGTAAAGTAACTCTTAATCTACAGTTTGCAGCTTAATATCTCAGATTAAAAAGCTGTCAATTTGAAAGATTGTTGATGAGTTTGACCATCAGAAAGTTGTTTTCAGATTTTCAGAATAGGCATGCATTTATCAAAATAATTTATAAAATATAGATCAAATGGTACACTGAATTTTTAATGACTAACTAACTATAAAGATATTACATAATTTGAACCAAAAATAGGCAGTTAACCACCATCTTGTGCTAAATTTAATACTTAAAAATAACTTAATTTAGAATATACTGGAAGGGAAAAAAATTAAGAAAGGCAAGGAACTCAAATCTGAAAAATTCTACTTATTGTGAAGCTGTATTGCCAATTTTGCTACCCCGATTTCTTAACTTCCAGACCAATTAATTTACAAGACATAAGCATACAGGTCATTTGCTACAATATGGAAGCTTAACCATCTATCTTTAGTCCAAATTATGTGAATGTTTTTAAGTAATTTACACATATTATTGCCCAATTAAAACCGGCAGTATTGATTATTGTTAATATCAAACAGTCTGCCAGATTGTATCAGGCTATATTACAGCTACAATTATTAATTGTAGCTGTAATATATAGATATTGAGATATTAGATATAATAATTTGCCTATCACCATCTCATAATAAATTTAATAATTATAAATAAATTAATATTTAATTTATAAAGTTCTGGAAGAAAAGAATCAGCCAGGAGTGCGACTCATACCTTTAACTTCCACTTATTATGCAGATATATTGCCAATTAACTATTAATAATTTAGATATAACCATACTGATTATATCAAATATTAATAATACTATTAGTTCTATATGTGAAGGTCTGGTATCATAACTGGCAACACATCCTCATAATAAGCAGAAGTTGGATATTCGAGTCCCACTCCAGACTAATTCTNTCTTCAAATTTTTGTAATTTACTGGTAGTAAATCGTTGGCAAACAATATCCAAATCTTCTTTCTAAAATATTTATTATATGATAAAATTAAATTTTAAATACATATTTAATTATTAAATATTACACAAACAATGGAAAATATTTCCAATTTAAATGCTTTTGTTAGCACAAAGAAAGGAAACTAATATTTTTCTGTATTTCCTTTTACTTTGTATTATTGTATATACATTTAATATCTGTTTTATATATATATCTAACTTAATCATTATTTTTATTTATTTCAAAAAGTCAACTTCATTACACATATATTGTTTTTATTTATCTTTTAAAGAAGCAATATGTAAATACCATTACTTTGTATCACACTTACATTCTCTGTATCAATTTTATGTTAAATCTAATCAACAGTTGAAATTTCATTACCTTTTTAGTGAAAAAATCTATTTTTTCACAGGAATTAATGGTATTAAATTCTGATTATATTTTAATAAACAAAAAATATGAAATTAATCTCCATTCAGGCACAATGCAGTTCTGAATGAAGTAACTAGGACCTTATCAGAGCTAAAGACCATTCCTGTAGGAGTAAAAAGTCAAAAGAATCAATGATCTACATGTGATTCAAACACAGATAATTAAATAATTTATTCATTAACTAAAACATCATGTAGATAAAACTTCATGAGATATAGCTTCCTCAAAATCAGCCTAAGGGCTGCTTCTTAAACATATGATGGTCTTAACCAACACCACCTAAGAATACAGCCTCCAAACACTTTCAGAAATCTCATGTAATGTCACTACTAGTGGTCCTTTCTAACAACTATTTCCAAGCTCGACGTCTCAAACATGCTGTTTTTCAGTCTTTTGTTCTTTGAATTGGATTTATTATTTACTTTAGTATATTTATACTTCCTAGCTAAGGTTCTTTCAGGATAAGCGATATGCCTTGAAAGTGGTGTGTACCAGCTTGCAAAGGGAACTATGCAACAGGATCAAAAGTTAGTGCTTTTAGTTTCCCTTCAGATGAAGTTTTATGGCAGAAATGGATATCTGCAATTCATCTACAGAACTTTTTAAAATTATATTAAAATTATTTATAATTATTAAATTTATTACAAGATGGCAACTTAATCACCCATCTCTATGCAAAATTACTAAATATCTAATTAAATATAGCCCAATGTAATCTGGCAGATAGTTTGATATTCAAGAATCAGGTTATTTGATGTTTTTATTTGTATTGATTATTATTGTATGTTAAGCTTGGTTTTATATGTAAAATGCAACCTGAACTATTAAAACTGGTATAATTATTAAAATATGCTAAAAGTTATAATTAATTGAAAAAAAAAAAAGTTATAAACTGATCACTAAAGCTCTAAAATTTGCTTGAGTAATTTACTGTGTACATTAACTTTATTCATTTCCAGAAATTTCATATGGTTGCACAAAAGTATAAATGATATTAAATGTTAAAAATGGAGACTTAATCAAATTTATATCTTACCTTGCAACACTATTTCCATAAATAATACGAATGTTATCCAATACTGTTGAACCTGACGGAGTATGAACATCTGTTCCAGATTCGCCATGCTATTATAACAATTATTATTATTATTATATTTCTTGAATTCTATTATTCAAAGAAATTATTAAATAATTACCTTTTTTAATGAAAAGCCAATATTGGCATTATGAATTGCATATCTGCTTACAACTTCAGTTATTTTAGAATGTTCTTCTGCAGCACTTCTTAATGCTTTTCTACGTGTTATCATATTATAAAATAAGTCTTCTACCTGAAACAAGTATTGATTTATTGTTTTAAATAATTAAATTAAAAAATAATTAATCATTTTATTTGCTAAATGCCTTTTTACTGACAGGTAAAAAACCTCTCAGAAAGTTTTATATTTTAATGCATTCTACATTTTTTATTTACATATTAATAAATTAAATTATTACTTAAATGTGTTGTAAATTTCATTTACACTTAATAATATGTATTTTACCAGATTCAACTATAGATAATTAAATAATTTATTCATTAACTAAAACATCAAAATTATCAGATGCATGTATGATATTTTATTAAAAAACTTTTATATATTTAATTATTATAAAATGGCAAAAAGCTTAATTTTGAGGGCGGGAATGAGTTTTATAAAAAAATTGTAAATGCTAATAACGAGTAAAATCATCATTAAGTCCAACACCACTTGTGACTGTTAAATAAATTATTCAGGTCTCTAGTCTTCATAATACACTTTATTAAGAATTAGATAAAGATAAAACCGATAAATTGCATTATTTAAATTACATAATAGAAACTTAGATCCTAAAGGATGCTGTTCATGGCAGGAGGAGCACGAGATCACATTCAATTTGATGTACCTCTTGTCTGTAATTATGCACTGACATTGTATGAATTTCTAAGTCTCAACAATGACACATGACTCCTCTTTATCTCCCCACCCTGGCAACCTTTAACCATCAAAATTTAACAGCATTGATCTTCCTAATACACAAACCTCGCCACAAAATTTCAGAAATGTTCGACAAAAAGCACAGGAGTTATTAAGGTTCAAAGTGGGTGAACAAAATTGTTCCCCCACACATGCAATCTATACATACAGAAAAAAAAACCCTGAATTTTTATGCAATTCTTGATGTTTCAAGGTCCAGAGTTCAAAAATGTGAAAATCCTGACGGGGACTTTTTTGATCTGTTGCTATACTTTCCCTTGTTATTTATAACAGAGCCAGGAAAGTAAAAATAGTAATTGTAATAAAAAGTAGAAAAAAGTTATTGTTAATCTGTTTATAAAGTTTAAAACAAATATCATTCTTAACTTACAACAATTTGTGTTCCCTGATTTCCTGCACAAGCTTTTGGTACTGATTTTGGTTTTCCATCACAATATGAAACTCTGCAAAATTATTATTATTTTATCAAAGAAAATTCAATATTATGAAATAAAATTAAATTTTTCTTAAATAAACATACTTATATGCACATTTTGAATCAGCAGTTTTAGTGATAATTGTAACATGAGCAACATGGCTAATACTGGCTAACGCTTCTCCTCGAAAACCATAAGTCGCAATGGCAGACAAATCTTCAAATTTTTGTAATTTACTGGTAGTAAATCGTTGGCAAACAATATCCAAATCTTCTTTCTAAAATATTTATTATATGATAAAATTAAATTTTAAATACATATTTAATTATTAAATATTACACAAACAATGGAAAATATTTCCAATTTAAATGCTTTTGTTAGCACAAAGAAAGGAAACTAATATTTTTCTGTATTTCCTTTTACTTTGTATTATTGTATATACATTTAATATCTGTTTTATATATATATCTAACTTAATCATTATTTTTATTTATTTCAAAAAGTCAACTTCATTACACATATATTGTTTTTATTTATCTTTTAAAGAAGCAATATGTAAATACCATTACTTTGTATCACACTTACATTCTCTGTATCAATTTTATGTTAAATCTAATCAACAGTTGAAATTTCATTACCTTTTTAGTGAAAAAATCTATTTTTTCACAGGAATTAATGGTATTAAATTCTGATTATATTTTAATAAACAAAAAATATGAAATTAATCTCCATTCAGGCACAATGCAGTTCTGAATGAAGTAACTAGGACCTTATCAGAGCTAAAGACCATTCCTGTAGGAGTAAAAAGTCAAAAGAATCAATGATCTACATGTGATTCAAACACAGATAATTAAATAATTTATTCATTAACTAAAACATCATGTAGATAAAACTTCATGAGATATAGCTTCCTCAAAATCAGCCTAAGGGCTGCTTCTTAAACATATGATGGTCTTAACCAACACCACCTAAGAATACAGCCTCCAAACACTTTCAGAAATCTCATGTAATGTCACTACTAGTGGTCCTTTCTAACAACTATTTCCAAGCTTGACGTCTCAAACATGCTGTTTTTCAGTCTTTTGTTCTTTGAATTGGATTTATTATTTACTTTAGTATATTTATACTTCCTAGCTAAGGTTCTTTCAGGATAAGCGATATGCCTTGAAAGTGGTGTGTACCAGCTTGCAAAGGGAACTATGCAACAGGATCAAAAGTTAGTGCTTTTAGTTTCCCTTCAGATGAAGTTTTATGGCAGAAATGGATATCTGCAATTCATCAAGACAACTTTGTACCTACAAAACAGTCAGTGGTGAGTAATTTAAATCTTTTTTTACCTTTTAAGATGGAATAAACCTCATAAGCAGGCCATTTTTAACTGGTAAACAATACTTTAGAATAGCTTACTTTGTTTTAGCTCATAATGGTAAGTTTGTTTAATGAGAGAGAGATTCTTTTTAAATTGTTTTGTTCATAAAAATTCATGTTGATCTATATCTATATAAATGCCTTTGTTTTAGATATACAGTAGAGCGTCGATTTTCCGAAAGTCAATCATCCGAAAGAATTCCAGTCGGCAAATTTAAATTTTCGCCAGTGCTGTGGCGCTGCAATCTTTGGCTATGTCTTGAGCTACTCAAATATTTTACGTTTTTGATACTAAATTAACATCTGAAGTATAATTTTTTATTGTTTATATATTTTCCAATATATTTATTTTGTTTGTACAAAATAAAAAAATAATTTTTAATGATACAACAGTCTTTGTTAGGCTTAACATTGACGAAAATTCAACGCGAAGCGACACGCAACGGATAAAAATTTTAACATCAGATACGTTAAACTATTTTTTCGTACATAAATCGGTTATCCGAAATATCAGTTATACGAACAACCCCAGTCCCCAATTGATTTGGAAAATCGACGCTCTACAGTATTCAGTTTTAGAACATTTATTTGGAATGGCTATTCCAACAGGGAAGATCCAAATTAGAAATTAGCAAGTATAGATTAAAGCATGTTCTGCTTAGTCTAGACCGTAGAGAATATGCAGAATATGAATATGAATACTTTAATATATTATTATTTGTATTTGTAAACATGGAAGTTCAGAAAGAACATACAATTAGGAAATGGAAATGTATGAATTAGCATTAGTGACTTTAAACATTAACAGGAATTAACACAATGCTTACTTTCATGTATGTGAATTACATTTTCATCCAGATGACATCGAATGTAGCACAAGTATGTACAACCCAAAAAGTGGAAAACTTCTTACTGCTCCATTAGATCAGCCAAGAATTAAGAAAGGTAAGAAATATTTTAAAATTAAATTTTACTGAATGTGATTGTCAGAGTGATTTTTTTATTAATCAAGTATCATTTGTCACCTGATTTATTTAAACCAGGGCTGTGGAGTCGCGTAAAAATCTACCGACTCCAACTCCGACTCTTCCTTACCATCCGACTCCGTTTCATATACATAACAAGTTGGTAAGTAAAAAAGGAGTCGGAGTCGGCGGATTTTTTGACGACTCCGACTCCGGCCAAAACACAAAACTCCACGACTCCGACTCCGACTCCACAGCCCTGATTTAAACTGTTACTTGTTTATTTTTAATAGGTGCTGTTCCTTCATTATTACCAGGATGGCCTTCATATTTATCCAAGCTAATCAGCAAAAGAGAAAATCCAGAGGATCGACGACAGTGCTTGGAGAATACTTTCCTCAGTAATGCAATAGAAGAAAGTATGGAGTCGTATACTAAACTGAAAGAAAAATTCACTTTTACTACTTTTGAAGAAGTTCCTCAATCTGTGCTGTGCAATCATCAAAGAAGACTTAATGGTACATATTTTTGAACAGAATGTCGTTGTTAAATTTCTTGGTAACACTAAGGTGTCCACAAAGATAAGTAATGTAAATGAATTAAGTGATATCCTAAAACTTGCATATCAGAAGTTTTCTGGAGTAACAGATGATAGTCTTATTGAAAATATAAACACTGTTGACAACATTTTAAAACAGATTTCAGAAGTACTTCCAGAGCAGGAAGGTAAGATTTGATTTTAAGATAACAGTTATCATTAGTTAAGTGTACTAGTACACAGTTAAGACATGAATGGAATACTGTGGTTCTGTGGTCTCTTGTGCATTCTATTAGCCCACATGCATATAAATTTTTGAGAAGCAGTAGTATGTTGACAATGCCAAATCCAACTACTTTGGTTCATGTTTGTAGCCAACTTAATACAAATCCTATGTGAGGGCAGCATTCCCAAAATTTTTATATCTAGTAGAGTAAATACATTGAGTGAAGAAGACAAAAGTATTCTTTCGCTAGTTGATCAGATACATTTAAAATCACAATTAGACTACAAAGGTATACTAAACTGTAAGAACGTATACACTACAAACGTACACTAAATGTATACGTTTGTAATTATAGTGGGTAGATCTCATGACTCTGCTAAATGTGCCAGTAGTGCATTTGTTTTCATAATCCAAAGTTTGGATTCACAGTACAAAGATGTATGCCACATTCTTCCAGTTAAATGCATTCAGGCTAATGTTCTTTTTGCATTAATAACAGATATTATTGTAAAACTTGAATCACTTGGATTTGAAGTTTTAGGTGTTGTTGCAAATAATAATGCAATTAATAAAAAAGCAATTTCTTTTATTTAGCAACCCTCCAGATTTTAAGATTAAATATGATAGTTCAAAACCCAAATGGAAGATCATTATATTATTTCTGTGATACAGTGCACCTGTTAAAGTGCATTAGAAATAATTGGTTCAATAAAATAGATGAAGCTCTGAATTTTCCAGATTTTAGTGAAGAGTTGAAGGGAGGCATTGCATTTGTTAAATCTTTAAAGATGCTTCATCTGTTAGAAAAAGAACAATTATTAAAATAAGGTTGTGGTTTGTCACTAAAGTGCCTCTATCCTACTTCTATTGAAAGGCAGAATGTGAAGCTGGCTATTCAAATATTTAATGATAATACAGCTGTAGCTTTGAGACATATGGGACCAAAGAACAGTATTGAAGAATGGGAATCAACTGCCATATTTATTGAAATAATATATCAATGGTGGTGTGTGGTGAGTGTGAAGACATTTTTTAAAGGTCAGAGGCTGAGAAATCCATTACAAGAACTAGCAACTGCAAATTCAAAACATATACTTGAATTTCTTAATTGTTTTCTCTTGTGGATCAACAACTGGAATCTTTTAAATGATAACAAAAAATTAACTAGAGGAACATATACTGCATTAAGGCGCATCACAGCTGCTCTTATTGATTTTTATGATTATTAGATTAATGTAAAATAAAGAAAGTATCTTCTTGGTAAAATTCAAACAGATAGTCTAGAGGACAGGTTTGACAAATACCATCAAATGGCAGTAACTGGTGGAAACTATCACATATCCCTCAGACAATTATTTGAAACTGAAAGTAAGCTGAGGACACAAAGTGTATTTTCATTAATATTGAAATCTAAGAAAAAATGGTAACTAAAGATGATATTTTTGTTGAATGCACAAATATAGAGGATATTGAAAGTATTGTTGTTCCTGATTCTTTAAATATTGTTGTGGAAGAATATGATTTTGAAGAGATAGGAGAGTGTACATGGCCTATTCTTCATTACATTGCTGGCTACTGCTCACATCAGGTCATTAAATCTGTAAACTGTGAGTATTGTTAAGTCTTTTTAACCTCTGATGACAGTAGAACATAAGACATTAACTTAATAGTTTCTATGGATAGAGGAGGTTTAACATATCCAAGTGAAGATGTTGTTTTGTGTACTACTTATGTTTATGTTACAACCCAGAAAATGATATCAGAGAAGGAAAAGTTATTTCTAGAGAAGAGCAATCAAAGAGACATACGGAAGAGGCATACTTTAAATAATCTGTCATCTGATTTATTTGCAGGCAATAGATGTATAAATGGACATAGTTCAGACTTAATAATTAAAAAATTTTACTGTGTTCTTCAAATATTTTGCTAAAAAATTATGCAAAAAAGATCAATGATATTTTGAAGCAAAAGGATGTTTTAACCTACAAGTGTCATAAACAAAACTGAAATATTTTATTGATTCTGTATAATATGTTTTAAAGATATTGTTATTTTAGATCTGTTATGTTTATTTTAATAGCAGTCTCATTCTTTTTGTTTGTGTTTATGTACCTACATATGTATAAATAAGTATACGTGTATACTTCTTATGTAATGGTGAATAAAATCTAAATTTTAAAAATAAAATCTCAATTTTTTTGAACTTGTTTTCTAGTATTGTTTAACTAATTTTATGTTCTGAACATTCTGAAAGTATTTCTACTGCTTTGTATAATATTGAATTTAAAAAGTGTATATTTATTTGTAATTTTTTTACTTAGAATTTCCTAGAAGTTATTTGATTATTACTTATAAACCAATTGAATTTAGTGTACTCTTCCATTAATAAAACATTGAAATATTTATCTGTGTCATCTTTAATTTTATTTCACTTTTACATATCAATAGTAATGAAGTTAGCATAGTTGCACTATTTATTTTCTGGAAATTGTTTTAAAAAATGAACGAAGGAACATATCATTTACGAAGAATCCATAAAGCATCAGCCGCATGCTGCCACGTCATCAATGTCATTTGGAGGTTTTATTCCTAGGTGGTGTTGGCTTAACGGAGTGCACAGCACAACTCCAATCACACCCTGTAGTCCATGCAATGGCCTTTTTTATGTTTTACGAGCTTTTAGCCATCTCTAGAAGTGAAAAACAGTTCATTTTTAGCATTTCTTTGAGAAATAGTTCCAGATTTTTTCACTTTTAAACTTTACCCCATTTTTGAGGGTCTTCAAAATTCCATCTGGGGTTATATCTTGCAAAGGATCACATTGTAGACCATCAGTTTATCTGACTTTTTAGTTCTTAAGGGTACAGCTACAACTCTGATAAGGTCCTAACCATCTCATTCAGAGCTTATTTGTACCTCAATCTGCACAAACTATAATTATTAACAATAAGGGTAAAATTTTACCTATGTGCACTGTCACGGTGGTGGTTGTGACTGTTCGTGCTCCTGTTAGTTATTGATATGTGTGTTCAAGAAATACCGTGAATCAATAACTAGTGACATTAAACAATCAGCTGCCTACTGGCGGGTCCCCTCTGGGAGGAGTCCAGTGGGAGCATGAACAGTTGTGACTGCAGCCATGAGAGTGCACATAGGTAAAATTCTACCACAACGAGAATTGTGACAAATTTTTATATTTACCCTAATTCCAGTACCATTGTCCTGTATTTGCAATAGCTTCATACCTCCAGATTTCACTATTACTTGTATTGAAGTAGCTTTAGCATCAATACTGTAAAAATATATGCATCTTAATTTATCAAAGTTATTAATAAATTTAAAAACTTTGATAAAAATGATATCCTTACCTATTTTCTAGCATTTCTTTAAGTGCATTTGAAGGACGTTGGATAACTTCCCCCGCAGCAATCCGATTAACAACACATTCATCCAGTCGACATATTGCAGCCGGCTTAGACATTTCTATCAATTAATTTCTAACCGTGATACGCTTACTTATTCGTAATAACAGCAAACTTTGAAAATAATATACTAGTTTATTAAGAGAGCCCGATTAGAAATTTGTATATAGTCACTAAACTTAGTTTAAATCTTTAGTTTAATGTTAAAAAATAGCATAATTTTATATATACAGTATTTAATAAAAAAAATATAGCAAAGTTCGAGTTTAGTTCTTTTAATAAACGTGTCAGGAAGTGTAAACTTCGAGGAAAAACATTCTCACGTGTGCTCTATAGAATTCCCGCAAAAATCTTGACAAAAATGTAAACTAAATCGTTATTGGTCTGTTCGATCTGTTGATATTGTTATAAAACAATATTAACCGACCAATAACGATTTAGCTTACATTTACATGCTATAGGCGATCAACAGTAGCGCCACACTAATTTTTTAAATATTTTTGTAATATTAATACAATATTTATAATATCTTTGTTATAATCTCTGATAAATATACCGTAAATTATTTTTTTAAAATTATAAGAAATATTAAATTGTCGATAAGTCAACTTTTTTTCATTAATTAAAAAATTTAAATTTTATATTTTATCTTAATAACATGTTTAATTTGTTTTTAAATAACAATATTTTTAAAAGACATATCAAATTTAACAATAAAATTTTATTATAAAATAATTTTTATTTTCTTCTTTTGCCCTGTAGGCACTAAGACCTTTTTCCATGTCGGGCGTGCCGTGACATTTGATGATAGGGAAGCTGTGTTTCTATAAAAACCCGACTTCCAGGGGCAATCAGTTAATTCTTTCTTTAAATCTATTAAATAGATTATTAATAAACAAGTTTAATATAATTACCTCTGTTATTAAATCCAATATATTCCATATGCCCTCTAAATGCCAATTCTTGCTTTGATAAAAACATATAACATCTATTTATTTACATATAATATATCTATTACCCGTAACTATCTCGTTATAATTTTCAATATTTATTTTATATTATTTACTAATGTTAAATTCTATTCCGCTTCGATTTCCAAATTGCTTCAAATACGAAAGAATCGACGATTTTTCGTGTCTTTTGCCAGCTAAATTGTCAAAGACATTCTTATTCCACACACTAATTTCACTCTGTAAATGGATTTTTATGCATTTACAGAGCCATTTTATCGTGAAAATATCGAACAAATTTTTTATTGAAGCGTTTATATTTAACTTAGGCATTGGCCGTTCTCTTTTAATAATGTTTTCTTTTTCATTATA